AGATTAATTGGGCTTAACTAGGGTTGTTCATAAGAATGCCCAACCCGACCAAACCGACCAACCCGAACCGACCCAACCCGAGTCGGCCGGGTTTTCATTAGTACCGGTCAGTCAACCTGACCCGAACCGAACTAGTCTTCTACTAGTTCGGTAGTTCCTAGTTTGAGTAGTTTCCTATTTAACTATAACTAGTCTTCTACTAGAACTAGAAGGCCCATTAGGCAATTACAATTAGAATAGGCAATCTATCCTAATTTCTAACTTTCTATAGTCTTTTACACCAAATAGGCAATCCATCAAGCAATTACAATTAGAATTCAATTAGGTGTCCTTTTGTACAGAGCAAAAACGAAACTGACCCAAATCGACCCAACCCGACTCAAACCGACCAGGTCGGTTTGGCCTATCAATGGGTCGTTTCAATTTCCACCTCAGGTAACCCGACCAGGTCGGGTCGGTTGGGAAAACCCCAATAAATCAACCCAATCCGACCCGTGAACACCCCTAGGCTTAACTGTCTTTGACTACCTTCAATAACATTTCACAGTGCCAATAGTTCCAAGTTACAACAACATTTTTCAACGTAAGACTCACATAATTAATCTTGAGTCTTCATAGATACGCCAAAGTTAACTAGGAATTTGGAAATATGTAACATGTGGCTAGTTGTAAGAGAACCTTATTTTTAGCTAAAAGAAGGTGATGACTACATCTCTTGATGACTCGTCATCATGGTTTTCAAAATTCGACCAGACCGGACGGTTGGACAGGTTGACCCAAGAACTGTTCATGGGTCGGGGTCTGGTTTTTTTGGACCCCAAAACCTTCTAACCCAGGTTTTGGATCAGACAGTGCCCGGTGGGACCATTTGACCCAAAAACCAATGGTCAAAATGATTTTCTTTTCGGTCTGATTTTGAAAACCATGCTCGTCATCATACACTTTCACCCCTATCGCAGACAGGTGAATGACACCATTAAAAAAATAAGGGAGAATGACGGTTCAGCCCAGGGTTAGAATTCATAAGCTTAAAGTACAGTTGGGGTAGGTGTCAGCTCGGAATCGATGCCAATTCACGGACAGGCATTGGTGCATAGGATGGGGGTAATTGACATTTCAAAGTGTTGTAGATCTGCAGTGGAAATCAGAATTCTGCAATGAGCCTATCCGTACTTCTCTGAAAAAACAATGGGTATACATTTAACCCCAACCCACCATCAACAACGTCACATTCAATTCAAAACCCTGTTTTGTAAACATAGGATTGTCAGATTCTAAAAAAAATAAAAGAAAAAAATGTTCAACCACACTTGGCCTTAGCAGTGGCAATTGGGCGGGTTGGGTTGGGTTTGGTTTGTGTTGAACTTCAACCCAATTCATCTAACCCGTCAACCCATTAATGACCCAGTTATATAAAATTAATTGGATTTGGTTCAACCCAAACCCGTCTTGACCTAATCCAACATACCCAAACCCATTAATCTTATATTTATGTAATTAAAACAAAACAACTAACTTCCATTTCACAAATAAGTTAGTCATAGCTTGGTGGTAATAGTAGTTGTTATTTACACAAGTGGTGAAGGTTCAAATCACATTATATGCATGTTATTTTTACACAAGTGGCGAAGCCATTTAACTATGTACGGGTTTTGGGTTTGATTGAACCACGTAGCTTCAAACCGGTCAGACCAACTTGAATTATCTAATTGGATTGTCTTTGAGCTAATCACATCAAGAGTGGTTGAATCGTTTGGATTCGGATTAGTCTAGTCGGACCAGATTGGATCGGTTCAATCAATGGCGGATTGACTTGGATCAGGTCGTATCGGGTTGTGCATAGGTTTGGGATCGAACCGGCTGGTCCGAAGCGGGTCAATGGAAGTGAATTGGGTCTATTTGTACAAATACGGGTCGTCTCGGATGATCTGGTCCAGATTTTGGGTCAATTGCGTCAGGTCTAGACCGAACCATCCCATTCGGTTCCGCTTCGACTTCAAGTCAGCCCAAAATAGCTTGATCTCGATCGGGTTTGGGTCTGGGCTGGCTGACCTAAACGAAGCGAACCAAGGTGATTGGGTCTTATCATATTTAGACTGAGTTGAACTAGTCCGGACTTGGGTCAGATTAATTTGGATTTTTGCCGATTTGGGTGAAATGTGTTGATTCGAGGCAAAACTAATTTTAGTCAACAATTAATAAAAAATTAATACATTAATTATAAATTATTTCACTCAAATGAAGAAAAATAAAAAAAGGCTAAAGAATTAATACTTGTATTGTTAGTGGTTAACCCAATGGTTATCCACAACCCAACCCATTTAAATTGACCCAATGGGTGATCAACCCATTTCCAACCCACCAAATAAATGGGCAGATTGGGCGAGCAATTGCCACCTTTACCTGGCCTCGGCCAGGTTCAAACGAGTACATCTATAACCCTAATGAAGAAGAATAACACATTTCTGTGCAAATGGCAAGTATAACTTTTACTAGTTTGCATGGTTGCAGCACTCTTAGGCAGTGTTCGATTTGAAAAAGGTAGGGGAAGGGAAAGGTAATGAAACTTATATTAGATTTGTATAGGTTTTCCTTCATTTCCTTACCTTTTGCTTCAAACCAAACACAATATTAGTGAAAAGATGAGCCATGGAAGTCTTATAGTTGTAGAGATCAGCAAGTTGTCAATAATAAATTTTAATTCGACTGTGATACTGAAAAAAAAAAATTTGTAACCAAGGTTCAAATTTTCGATATGTATCAGGCTGTATTGATCGATCCCTCGAACCAACTTGAAAAAAAAAACTAAAAAAACAAAAATAAGCCTAAAAAAACTAGAAAAACAAAAATAAGCCTAACTGATGTATCGACCTATATCAACCGGTATCATAGAAATGATAACCAATAAGATGGTATTAACCAAAATTCACTATAAGATTTGATTGTTCTATGCTCTTCCAGTTTCATATCATGCATTTTTTTCCACAAGGCAAAACGTAGAAACTAAGCAAGCTATAAAGAGGCATTAGTATTGCTGTATTTTTTTAATGCTATTAGAGGGTGTTTGGCATATCCATGTGCATTTCTTGGTCATTGTGTTTAAATAATTATAATGTGTCTCATCAGTCATCAGTATCAAGAATCTTGTTTGTTGATACAGTAAAACAAAGTATTGCCTAGAGCAAGGTTTCCGAACCGCTATTGATCCAGACGGTCAGACCGTTCGGCTCGGGAGCCGTCTAAGCAATCATTTTTATTTTATTCAAAACTCGATTTTTGGTCAAAACTGTTGAAAAAGTCAACAATACATTGATTTGAATTATCAAACTATCGACCCATTTAATGATTTTTTATTATTTTTATTTTTAATTTATTTATCAGAATGGACCATTCGTTCGAACCAGATGATTAGACCGTCAACCCAAAAACCAGTGGCCAGAACGATCCAATTTCCGAATATTTTTTAAAACGTTGGCCTAGAGTGAAAACACCATATTTACACAATTGTGATAGCATAGCCGTATATGAGTTTTGGGATAATACGGCATCTCATGTGGCACATTGCAATGTAGAGAAACAAAATATGTTTTTTTTTTTCCGAGTCGGTAGTTGTAGCAAAACATTTTAAGAAATTTTTTCATAATTGGGGTTTCTTTGCTCAACTTTTCTTTACCTGCAGAACCAACATAACCTTAAAAGTTCATAGGACCACGTCCCTCAACTATGAAAAATTTTAAATACCTCCCCTCAGATTTTCGCATGAGTATTAAATAACCACATTTGTTAATTAGCATTCTGTCAAGAAAATGGATAGACAATAGTCATGTGCATCATGTGATATTTTAAGTTTTGGACATATCGAAATTGCCCTTTTAAATCTTGTTTCTTTAAGAAAAGGTTAAATGAGAATGAAAAATGTAAACTTTAATTTTATTTTGAGTTTTATTTTATTATGTTTCAGGTTTTATTTTATTTTATTTGTATTGTAATTAGGCAATATAAAGTAAATCTTAAAATGAAAATAAATCAGAATTAGCACCCAAATCATTGGCAATATAGGCAAAAGAGTAAGAATACAAATAAATAATATAAAATTTAAGGTTTTGCACTCTACATATTAACTGACCCATAAATACAAATAACTTGGACTACGGTTTGTTATGTATGACGGTATGAGTTAAAGTAAGTTGGCGTTTGTTTTTCAAAGGAATCCAATCTGAAAGATGTTTCCACTTACCTGACGGAGTTAGTCGCCATTAAACTCTGTATTTTTTTTTCGGGTGCAATAATATCATTGAACAAAACGAAAACGAGCTGAAGTTACGAGGGTAAGTGCCCATTAACCGATAGTATTAGTTTTTGGAAAATCGGTAATTGAAATCGAATCAAAGTCGATTGGTGGTTAATCAGTTGATCGGTTTTTCAGTTTTTTATTTTTATAATAAAAATATCCCGAAAGATTGGAAAGCAAGGGCGGAACTGGTTCAGAGAGATGCAGACGTAACAAGGCCTTTGTTTATTCTGCCAACCACACCATCTTCTTTGTTTTATTCTTTCCAGGTCTAATGGGTCTAAAATTCGCCGATTTAGTGCTCAGTCATCTCATTTATTACAACAAATAACTTGTCGTAATCAAAAGTTTGAAAAAGAGGCGATTTCTGTTGGCAGTTATATCCGACGCTTGAAATTGGACAGGGATTATGTGCCCTGGCAATAAATGGAGTTCAAATCAGTGATTGAAGAAGCCTGCTATCCAGACTCCAGAGAATTATTAGTCCATCGAACAAGGTCTGGATTTGGGTCTGCACAGGCACAGCAGACAGCAGTTGGAACTCTGTTGTTTTAATTTCTTTCGCTTAATTAACATGATCAAACTCCATGCAACAGTAAAAGTGCTGAAGGCATGGCTTAATTACGGACTTACGTTTCACGTGGACAGCCTCTGGACTAGAGAGAGAGAGAGACGTTCAATCTCAATCTCCATATATATCTGAGTAGTATTTAACATGGAATTATTGTTCAAATTAATGGGATTAAACATAAGGGTTTCCCAGAAACAACTGAAAACTAAGAAATAATGCACACTTTCTTCGTACCATATTACCAACATATACAGAAATTCTTCACAAGGTAATAAAACAATAGTTTGACCTCCATTAAAACCCCGAAATTAACAACGACCTGATGAAAGCACAAATCAAACGCAGCACAGGTTGATATTTTCTCAGCACTAATTATATATACCATCAATGAAGAATTAATTAGCCTTTTATTTCCACCGGATACCTGTCGATGCACTGCATCCAGGGACTGTTGGGAGATGCTTTCACGTTCCTGAGTGCTTCCCACACGGCACTGTTGCACTTGAAGCCACTTCCGAACGCAATCTGCCAGAGACGGTGGCCTTTGCGCATCCTCCCTTTCGCCTCCGTGTAGGCCAGCTCGTACCAGATAGAGCTCGAGGACGTGTTGCCGAATCTATGTAATGTCATCCTTGAAGCCTCTACATGTTTCGGTTGCAGCTGCAGGTTCTTCTCCAGCTCATCGATCACGGCTCTTCCTCCGGCGTGGATGCAGAAGTGGTCGAATGCCATCTTAAAGTCCGGGATGTAAGGTCTGATGTTGGCATTGAACAGCTTCTTGGCCGCCAGGGTGAGGACGAAAAGAACCTGTTCGCTGATGGGGAGAACCAGTGGACCTAGTGTGGTGATGTTGGTCTTGAGTGCCATTCCTGCAATCGCCATGAGATCCTTAGACAGCGAGACGCCTGTCTTACCACGGTCGTCCTGCTCCTGGTACACACAGTGGAACGCCCTGTCGTCCGCTCCGCAGTGGGTCCTCACGACATGGACAAGCTTGTACTTGGCCCGGCGTCTGTCGGAGGACTTGTTGGACAGAAGAATCGCTGCGCCACCAACGCGAAATAGGCAGTTCGGTATCAACATGGATTTCTTGTTCCCGAAGTACCAGTTTTGGGTGATGTTTTCCGTGCTCACAACAACCGCGTAAGTGTTGCGATGAACCTGGAGCATGTCCTTGGCCAAATCGATGGCAATCACTCCAGCACTGCATCCCATTCCACCCAAGTTAAAGCTCCTAATATTACCTCTCAGCTTGTACCTGTTGATGATCATGGCCGAGAGCGAGGGAGTCGGATTAAACAAGCTACAGTTGACGACAAGTATCCCTATGTCCTTGGGATTGAGGGATGTATTGGTGAAGAGATTGTCTAGAGCACCAAACATAACCTGCTCCGCCTCTTCCCGAGCCTTGGCCATGGTGGGGCGTGGGGGAATGTAGCGCATCGCGTCAGGGACGTAAGTCTCCTCGCCGAGCCCGGAGCGCTCTAGGATCCTGCGTTGGAATTCGAGGGAGGAATCGTCGAAGTCCCCGGTGGCCTTGGAGTGCTCCATGAAATCCTTGTAGTTAACTCTGAGATCAGATGGAGGAAGGTAGCAGGAAAAGTCGACGAGATAGACAGAACGCGGACGGGTCATGACGTAGACTGTGGCACCGAATACCAGCAAAGCTGAACAGACTGCCACGGTCACCAAATTATGCTGAAGGTGGAGCCACAGATGAAGGACATCATCCGAGCTCATCTGCCCGGCCTTGTCCACGGTCATAGCCACGATAGGAACAAGACACAAGGTCATTAGATGTTTCATCAGGTAATGGTAGCCCAACTTCACATATTTGCGTCTTACGTTTTGCCGGACGTGAACGCCGCCTGTTCCTTCACCGGCGCCACCATTCTGGACTTGTGCTCCTCCTCCTTCCATGATGAAATGGTGATCGATGAGCCTAATTGTCTTAGGCTCTAACACACCAAATTCTAATGCTTGAACTGCGGAGACGGGATACGGTGCATGGGATTAAATAGGATGTTCAGTTGATTAAACTAATGAAAGAAAGAAAGAAATATAATATAACAATAATATAATGAGAGAGAGAGAGAGGTTTGGAGGGGTTGATACAACGACGATGACTAGACAAACTTGGAAGAATAAAATTTTATGGCAAGACCAAGCAATCCATAAGAGACGTTGGCTCGAGCCTCTATGCACATTCCCAAGTGTTCGAGACTCGAGAGAGTACAAAAGGTCAAGAGCCTTCCAAGCTTTAAAATGGCATTCAAAAAACTGAAAAAGAAATAGGAAAACGCTAGGGTGTGTTTTTGGGTGGTCAAAAAGTTATACAGTTTATAGATATTGCCCCAATAAGATTGCTCCCACAACGTTCCACACAGCACATCTCCGCCGTGTATTAAAAACATCTCCCGATACAGTTTATAGATATCAAAAATTCATACTCAATTTTCCAACCATCTTCATTAATTAGGCACGCAAAACAGTTAATGCAACTATTACACAAACACTTGAAGAACAATTAAATTTGATGACTTTTTAGTGGATAAGATGAGTGTTGAGGACGGCAGTAGTCATTCATCCGAAAGAGATATCACCGAGTGGTCCAGATCAGATGTTCGATTGGTAAAGGCAGATGTATCTACTCTTGGAGTAGTAGATGGTTGTAGTTGTAGATACGATTTGATGATTTGAAAGTATATTCATTTCATCTGTCGGGTATATCTACTTCTGACTTCATAGCCAAATATTGAACTTGGTTTCGTTATTATTATAAATTCAGTTGTCTATCTGTCGATCAGAACTAAGAAGAGAAGGAAAGGCAAAATTATGGTTTTTGAACCGCGTTGATTCAGACGCTTGGACCATTCGGCCTAGGAACAATTTAGACAATTAGTACCATTTTACTCCAAATCTAGTTCTTGGTCAAAAACTATTGAATTAGTTAATAATTCATTGATTCAAACGATTATCGATTCATTCGTTCTATTCAACAGTTTTTTATCATTTTTAAATTTTAATTATTTTTTATTTTTTTTAATTTATTTTGTTAGAATGGACCTTCCATTTGGATCAGATGATTGAACCTTCGATCGAAAACCAGTGAACAGAATGATTCCAGTTCTGGGCCATTTTTTATTATAGTTTTGTCCCCGATCCAATTGACTGGGATTGGCAAAACTTTCCTGGCCACTGCACTTTTGGATATGCTGCATGTTTGGTGCATGCGTGTTGTTTATCTTCTTCACTGCTTGTAGCCATCTTTTATTAAATGAATGTGGAAACGTTTTGACAATTAATGCTCCTTCCTTCCAATTCCCACCACCCAATAGGGCTGTTCATAAGAAGGCCCAAACCGACCCAACCCGAGTCGGCCGGGTTTTTATCAGCATAGGTCGGTTTCGGGTTGTGCAAATTCCTAAACTGATTATTCGGGTTGGTTTCGGTTTTCACACAAGAAAACCAAAACCGATCCAAACCAAACCGACTTAGTTCCTAGTTCAAACATGAAGTTCCAAAGCCCATTAGGCCACCTAGTTTTTGAATGGTTGCAAAAACTTTGGATTAGTGAATAGTGATTAATGAATAACTTTTGTGATTAACTTTTCATTTAAATTTTATCATAGGAGATGGCTGAAATGATGTTCAATTTATGACTGATTTTTAAATTAGCAAGATTTTATCACAAGGATGAATTTAGAACCGAAACCGACCCAACCCGACTCAAACTGACCAAGTCGGTTTTGCTTAACACTGGGTCGGTTTCAGTTTTTGTGTCAGGTAACCTGACCAGGTCGGGTCGGTTGGAAAAACTGTAATAAACCGACCCAACCCGACCCGTGAACAGCCCTACCACCCAAGAAAAAATATTAACTCCTTCAAGAATTTTAACATTTTTTATGAAATATTACAATGTAATCAATCAGTATAAAGAAAGAGGAAGAAAAACCTTACAACAGAATATGATAATATAAAAAAATGAGGGGTTTTAAAAAATATATAATATCTAAAAAAAATGTTTGATTTATTAGGCCTGCAAACGCCGGTATCTTGATTGTCCGAATTTAAATTTGAAATTGAATTTAATCCCATTAAAGGTGATATGATAAATATCAATGAATCAATCCACCCCTATCCAATCCAATTTGATAGTTGCATTTTGAAAGTTGCATTTTACTACATTGCCATGCCATAAAAGTAATTTCCATTTCATTTTGTTCATTAAATACAATATCAGATACTTTTGTAGAATTGTAGTTAATTTTATTAATTAATAATATATAAATATAATATTTTTGAGTAGTTTTTATTTAATTTATTTATATTATTCCGTATTTGTTTTTAATTCAAATTCATTTAAATCCTATATAAATCCAATGGATAAGATCCGATTGGAATTTGCATATAAACAAAGGGAAAATCTATGATGCGGAAAAGATATGGTATGCATGGGAAGAGTTTTGACCAATCAAAACCCACCCATGAATTTTGATAAATAACACTAGATTGGCAGTCACATTTATGATTCCAGTTGACTGGTTAGAAGTTTTTCAAATATCATATATTTTCTATATCATAGCCGATAACACATCTTTGAAAACTGAAAACGACATATCACATCTTTATTACATAATATGGACATGCATTTGCCCTGGTTTCCTGTCCAAACCACCATATGAAAATTTTAATCCACTTATTTTCCTCTCTCTCTCTCCTACCTTCTTGTTGGTGCATTTTGAATATACCATTAAACTAGTTTTTAGACAAATAAAACCATACAGGGTAATATCTTTTTTGGTACTAAATGGAAATTCACTAACACTTAGGGGGCGTTCTTTTTTTGGATTTTGAGAGGGGGGAAAGTTGGTCAATGGGATTTTTGTTCCCATTGACCAGGATTCCATGTTCATTTTCAGTTTTATGTGGGGATTAGGGATAGTTTATTTTTCAAGGTATCATTTATCCGGGTAAGTGATACCCATCTCCTAGGTGGGTAAATAACTTTCCCACCTGGGGGAAAGTTTATAACACTTAAATGGAACAAAAATACCCTTTTAATAATGAATTTTTATGATTAAAATTGTCATTACTTTATTTACATGGGAAATAAAAGAACATGGGTAAATGCACCTACCCAGATAAGTGTTTCTCAAAAAAAACTTACCCAGGTAAATTTACCCGGGTAACTAACTTACCAAAAAGCAAATGGGGCCTTACTAGGAACCATATAGGGACTAGGGTAATATCACCATTTATACAAATAGTGTAATTCACTTTTCTAACTTCTAATTTTGATAATCTATAGATTTGTTTAGTGTAGGTTTTTATTTTGCCTATCTTTAATGGTGGACTTTTGCTCTATCCTATATTGCATATGTCCAGATTTACATGTTCCCATCAGTATTTGTATTTACACCTACATGTTTCTGTGAAAGCAAATTAAGGTTGATTTTACAAAGTCCCCTAACAATTTCGTTTACAGTGTTCTCCATGTTGGCAGTGGGAATTCATTTACTAAATCAAAGAAATTGTAACAAAAATAAATATAGTTATTATTGAAATCTATTTTTGGTGAACTTTGATACCTTGACTTAATTATTTAATTTTTTTTTAGGGAAAATTCCACTTTAGTACCTAAGCTAAGCTTTGGGGGTAGTGTCAAGTTAGTACCCAAATTTTCAAATGTGTCACTGCAGTACCTAAACTTTCAAAAAGTGTCAAATTGGTCCCTCCCGTTAACCGACCATCAGTTATCTCAAAACTACCATTCGAAAGAAGACACTGTTCATTGTCTTCTATCTTGAGACTGACCGATTGAGGTGTTTAAGATTGTAGACTATTGAAGTCATTGTCTTCTACCTTTAGATCTGAAAAGCATTCTTGTCTAGTTACTTCTTTGCTTTCATTTATTATTTTCTTCTATCATATTTCATGTTTTTTCTCTCTTTTTCTTTGAAAATAACCGATTTAGTCTCAAGGTAGAAGACAATGAACCGTGTCTTCTTTTGAAGAATAGTTTTGACGTTTTTAACCGGTTCATGGCAGGGACTAACTTGACACTTTTTAAAAGTTTAGGTAAGTTTGGATATTAACTTGACACTACCCCCAAAATTCAGGATATAAAGTAGAATTTTCCCTTTTTTTATGACCACAATTGTTTATACTTAGATCAAACGCAGTAATATTTTGGTTTTGCACCAACTCATAAGTAAAGGTGGGATCTAAAAACTCAACATTGTGTCAAACAAGGAGACAACTCATCTGAAGAGATTTTAACCCTGCCTGGTGGTTGCAAACATCAAATATATTATTGGAACGAACAAAAGATTTAAAAAGGAAATTTGGAAGATTTACAACGAGATAGAGGGAGATAAGATCGTCTCCATAACACTGGTTCAATATTGCAGAAGAAACATTTAGGTTGTCTTTGATTTCTTCCACATTCCTCGATAACTTTCCCTCAATTTTTTTTTTTATTTCTTTCTTATTTTCCCTCAAACCAAACTTAGCATAAACTATTTGCGCTGGCAGTTTATTCATAGGGTTTTAGTTGGACCCCCTAGTTTTTAACAAATAAAATATATAAGAAGAAAAACTATACAAATGGCTCAGTTTATTTGCCGTGCAAATTTCATTTGCAGTTGCATAAATGCATGGAATTGCATAAAATAGGAAATAAATACCCTCTTTATATGAAAAAAAAAATGGAGTCAGGATGAATTAATCAAATCAGATTTGCACTGCAGCAAACAAATACAACCTATAGGACATTTATTAATTCCTTGTTTGTATTAGAATTAGCTATATTTCGGTAGCCAAACTTCACTCATTATTGCATGGAATTAGAGAATCCACACCCATCTTGATATATTGGTTTCTTACGAATGTGACTTTTCCTTCCATCTATTCTTTTAATTGAGGGTTGAGCCGGTAGGCTTGATTGTTTAACTTATGGCCGGTAGGGTTGATTGAGGGTAGAGAATCCACACGAATTCAGTCAGTCAATCAGCTCTTCTTCATGTATAATTTGTTTATTTATTTATTTATTTATTTATTTGGGTAAGATGTATCTTGTTTAATTAATGAATAATTAAAAAATATCTCGTTTAATTAAATGCGTTTTTCTTTTGGTATGTGCCTTTCTCTTTACGTCTCGTCTCTTCTTTAATTGCCTATAGGTTGGGCGGTTTAACAGATAAATCATGCATCGGAAATTAGGACTGGTTTTCTAATTCTTGGTCGTGGTGGTGGTAAAAGCACATTAAAGCCTATCTTTTCCTACCTTTTCTTTCAAACCAAATAGAGCTTATTTGAATCATTTACTTCTCACTCTTGCCATTTAGGTTCCGTTTGGTTTGTGGAATGGAGATAAGAAAAAGGGAATATTTCAAAAATATTCCTTCTTTTCTCATTTGTTTCAAGGAAAAATGAGGGATAGAATGAGAAAAAAGTGGGATGTGAAATCCCAAAATTGTGTAATCGGGGTCACACCAAAACCGTGCAACCCCGGTGGAAAAATTTGAGAAAACTCGAGTTTCGTCTTCATCCTCATCGCTGTTGGTAATCGCCACCACCGCTGCTGGTAATCGCCGCTGCCCTTCTACCTTCGTTATAAGGAAACCGGCAATAGATGGTTTCAGGAACCCAGATCTACCACTGCTGGTAAAGCATATGCATGAGGATGAAGATGGTTTGAACTTGATGATTTCAGGAACCAGATCTGTCGCTGCCCTTCTACCTTCTGCATAAGGAAATCGGCAACAGATGGTTTTAGGAACCCAAATCTGCCGCTGCTGGTAAAGCATATGCATGGTTTCATCTTCATCCTCCCTCATGCATATGCTGGGAATCGCCTACTATTTTCCCATGTAAAACCAAACAATGAAAAATTAAATTTTTACACTTTCCCATCCCACCCAAATCTTCCCACAAATAAAACGGAACCTTAGGAGTGTCTATTGGGACCAGATTTGATTCAATAGTCTAATATGAATTCATTATAGATAGACTAGGTCCAATCCAATCTTATGAATACTTCGAATCTTTTGTGGACTAGTTCAGTTTAATGTTTAGACTGCTCAATCTGTTCAAATTTGTTCCAACTCAAACCTGGTCCATTGATACCTGTATTCTTATCTTCTATCAATTGACCATATATTGATTCAATCCAATATTAATCCATTATGGATGGACCAGGTCTAATCCAATTCAATAAATATTTTGGATCATTATGTCTGAATTGGTCCAATTCAATATGCCTTGTTAGTCCGTCCAATTTATCTAAATTGATTTTATTTTAGATGGGTACAATCCAAAGCTAGTGTATTGAAACCCCAATTGCCATGGTTATGGATCCTCTCTCAATAGGGGTGTTCATGATTCAGTGGGCCTATTTTTGAAATTAAATCGATATTACCAGTTTCCCAAAGCTGATTGATAACCAATTGATCGTTTTGGTTCGTCGGTTTTTCAGTTAAGCATAATTGATAATTTAACCAGGTTTGCACATTTGTGCCCACACCTTATCTACACTCTCCGTGAACACACTATACAACTTCCCTTGGGCCAAACCGACCGGTACATGTCTGAGAGACTGAGGATCTCCGCAGACGAGTCCAACGATGACGTATGTATTAATGAAGAAGATTTTGGTTCCAAGTCTGTCTTTTCTCTCTTCTTATTATACAACTTTGTTTCTAGCGTCTTTTTTATGGTTCTAACAATGCCTGTGGAGAGAACTTGTTCCAGGGTTGCATAATTCGTTGTTCACTAGCAGCTAGATTGAAAAAGAAATTAATGGCATTCAACCTCAACGCTGAGATAAAGCCAGCCCAACCCGGCATAAGGACTGAGGGACTCTGGTTATTGTCTTAAATTGGATCAATGTGGAGGGTCCAATTGCCAAGTAGATGGCCCAACATGGTTCATAGAATACTGGGCCAGGACGTGGGCCAGTCTGTTAGCGTTCTGTTGGCATGCGAAATCAAGAATGTATACACATTAGAGGATGTAGGATGAAGCCACATACCAGGAGCACATGAGCTGTATGTCTGGGGTAGGGATCTGTTACCAACAAAACACTCCCAACACTGTCTCAATAGGCCAATGCAGCCGCACATTAAGAACATTTTTCTTGTCATTCATGGGAAAATGTTAGTAATGATTGTTGGAACAGTGTTAGGATTGGTTACATGAATCTTATTTCACTATTCTATTCTATTTATAGTCAAATTTATTATGGATTTTTGGTTCTCACAATCATTGAACTTTACAGAATTAAAAAATATATATATTTTTTAGATTATAAAGAATTAAAAGGGTCATTAAGGCCCTTATGATTAAAAGGCCACTTTAAAGCTAAAATAGATAATGTTAAGATGTCGTCAATGAATCCGTAATAAATAAAATAATAAAAGCTCATGTGGCACTACTTAAGTTTGAAAAGGTCATTTTAGATGTTAAAAAATAAATTTTATTAATCTTGAATTTTTTTTAAGTCATAAGGCAAGAGTTTTATTTAACTTTCAATTCGAAGGTTACATCTCATCCAAAATAATAGATCGGATACAATCTATAATAGAGGACCAAGTAAACGATCGATTTTGTCTTAAAGCAAATTAGGCAAGCCCATGGACTGCTCTATTACAGGACCCAGGGGTGTGATACACCTTGAAAATTACTTAAAGGTTTTTAACAATAATTAATTGAATAGTAAACAATTAACAACATTAAGAGCATATTATTGCTTAAATACTAACTTAATTAGTTTAACTAATAATAAATTAACAATCACTCAGTTTGCTTAATTAACTTAGTTAACTTTTTTTGGGTATTTGGTGATATGCCTAAATCCCTTGGAAAGGCCACTGAGTAGCGCAACACCACACTAATTGCTCCGCTTAGTGGGAATCATATCCACCTCTCTACTAGAACAAATCAGCTAATGAGCCAATTAGGCCATAATTTTTACAATTACTTTATGTACTTATTTTAATTTTCTTAATTAATAATAACTTAATTGACTTATTTACCTCAATTAGCTTTGATTATTTAATTACTCTATTTACTTAGTTCAATTTACATAATTGACTTAATCAATTAGTTAATTCACTTAATTGTCTTAATTTTCTTATTTAGGTCGACTAGAATTGTCTATTTAATTACTTCATTAACTTAGTTTCCTTAATTAATTTAGTTTACTTATTCATCAATTATATAATTTACATAGTTGGCTTAATTTACTTAACTATCTAAATTAGTGTGATTTATTTAATTAACTTTATACCATCATAGATATTTAAGTAATTTATTTAATTAACCTTATTAAAGTGGGTTTTTCAAACTTTGGGGTCTAAAGTGGCCTTTTCAAACATGAGTGTTGCTACATAAGTATGCTGTATTTCATTCATTGTTTAATTAGTGAATTTTCCGATGACATCTCTAACGTCATCAATTTTGAGTTCAGATCTCCTGCCCACAAAAACTCTACTCACGTTTGCCCACATAACATCGCAACCACATATGGAGAATATTTCATCTTATACAGGGGGAGATGTTCACAACTCACAGGGGTAGTGTGCTGTGAGTAGACGTGAGCAGAGTTCTCGTGAGAAGGAGATCCCACGTCATCAATTTTTGCCTTAAAATAGTCTTTTTGTCATAGTTTGAGGGTGAAAATGGCCCTTTTAATTCTTTAGACTCTAAAGCGACTTTTTTTACAAATTTCAAGGGCTGTCAAAGCCAAAAATCTAATCCATTATTGAACTAGTGGTGCTTAAATCGTTTTTTTACTATTATCCAAATCCTTTTTTGCTCTAACCCCGGCCCTTTTAGTGCCTTCAAATTGCAACAAATAACTTCTCTTTATGGGTATTGTTGATGGTATGCATGTGAACAAACCATTTAAATCTACTTTCTCTCATTTTTACCCCGTACATGCATGTATGTATGTAACTATATCACAGCCATGCTGAGCCGGGCTAGAAATGAAATAGATAGTAGTGATCCATATTTTATCCAATTATATATAAACGGATCAAATTAGAATACTAACCAACATTTTTATTAATATTCACTTATTCAGCCCTACATAATAAACTTTATTAAAAGATATATAAAGCATTACACCTAATTTGGTGGTGGGAAACATGTATCTTGCCATGCATTCACAAAAAAGGGAGTATAGCTGATAAAGGCAATTTTTAGGCCCTATTCAATAAAAGTAAGCATTTTAATATAATTTCTAAAATAGACTAACTTTTTAAAAAATATATCAAATAAGGGCAAAAACATTGTTCATGTTCTTCCTCCTCCAAACCACTTCCGCCCCAGCCCCATGAACCTCAATGATCACCATCCATCAGCACTGTCGCCACCGCCCACCTCATGTCGTCATATTGGCATTGCCAGAGGTGGGCGGAGGTAGAGGCGACAGTGGTGGATGGTAGTCATTGAGATTTGCAGGGCTGGGGAAAAGGTGGGCAGAGGTAGCATTGTCGAAGGTTGGTGGAAGAGACGGCGTTGGGTGGAGGAGGAGGTGGGCAGAAGCGTTGCCGGAGGTTGCCGGAGGCGGCGGCGTGCTAATGGATAGTGGTCATTAAGGTTCATGGAGTTGGGGTGGAAGTGGTTTGGAGGAGAAAGAAGATGAAAAGTATTTTTGTCCTTATTTGATATATTTTTTAAAAAATTAACATATTTTAAAAATATTACTTTTATTGGTAATAGGGCTTAAAATTGCCCTTACGCCCAAAATAGAATAAAAGCATAAGAACCTAACCTTCCAAAAAAATACATGAACATAAGATATATGCATCTAAAAGATAGACTTCTTTGAGCCATTTATACGAATTAAACAACTCCAACTAATCACCTCATGGGATTTAGAATTATTATTCCTTATTATACTATATATGGCTACCTTAATTTCATGGCTTCTAATAACCGACGAGACTAATTAAGGACCTACTTGGACAGGATATTTGTCGATGCAATCTTCCCATGGACTCTTAGGTGAGGGCGTCACATTCCGAAGAGCTTTCCAAACAGCGCTGTTACACTTGAAGCCACTCCCGAACGCAATCTGCCAGATGCGGTGGCCCTCCCGCATCCTACCCTTGGCTTCTATGTAGGCTAGTTCATACCAGAGGGAGCTCGATGATGTGTTGCCGAAACGATGCAGAGTCATCCGTGAAGCCTCTACATTTATCGGCAGCAATTGCAGGTTCTTCTCCATCCCTTCGATCACGGCCTTTCCACCGGCATGTATGCAGAAATGGTCGAACACCTGCTTGAAGTCTGGAACATAAGCCTTGATCTTGGTTCTGAACACCTTCTTAGCCAGCAGGGTGGCTATGAAAACAAGCTGCTCACTGATTGGTAGGACGAGAAGGCCCAATCTGGTGATGTTGGCCTTGAGTGATAGTCCGGCGATGGCGATGAGATCCTTGGATAGGGAGATACCAGCTCCGCCGACTTCATCTTCGTCTCGCTGCACGCAGAGGTATGCCTTATTGTCGGCCCCAGAGTGGGTCCTGACGACATGAACAAGTTTGTACTTGGCCCGGTGCTTGTCAATCGACTTGTTTGACAGCAAAATAGCTGCCCCACCAACCCGGAATAAGCAGTTGGTCACTAGCATAGATTTGTTGTTGCCAAAGTAAAAGTTCTGTGTAAGGTTTTCGGTACTAACAACGAGGGCGTAGGTGTTTGGACAAACCTTCAGCAACTCCTGAGCGACGTTAATGGAAACAAGTCCAGCGCTGCATCCCATACCTCCAAGGCTAAAGCTCTTGATGCTCTCTCGTAATTTATACTTACTGACAATCATGGAGGAAATCGAAGGTGACGGACAGAACAGGCTGCAGTTCACGACGAGGATTCCAATGTCCTCGGCCTTGACGGAGGAGTTGTTGGCAAAGAGATTGTCCAAGGCGCCAAATACAACTTGCTCCGTCTCTTCCCTGGATAAGGCTAAAGTAGTGGCCGGTGGCAGTCGTTGCAGTCCGTCGGGTCCATAGGACTCCTCCCCTATCCCAGAGCGCGAAAGTATCTTGGCCTGGAATTCGATGGACGATTCATGAAACTCCCTAAAAAGCCCCAACAGCTTCCTAAACCGATGGAACCCAACTTTCTGGGCCTGAGGCGCGTTATAGAGGGAGTAGTCCAGCAGGTAGACAGGACGAGGGGGAGTCATCATATAAACAATAAAGTAACCGATCAATAGAACCAAAGTTAAGTAAACAAGTGCATTCCCCGATTTGTGCTGGAGGTAGAGCCAAAGGTGGCGAACAAACTCCAAGTTCATTTGCGAGATTACCTCGTCACGATTGAGAGTTACAAGATTGAGAATGAGAGGGACGATGACACATAAGGTTAAGATGTGAGTAATGAAGTTATATAACCCAAGCTTCACGTACCTCAAGATTACTACAGTCTGTGACATACTAGCTAACAAATTAAATTTAATAGATCTCTTCTGGATTTCCATGGTTTTGATGAACACCACTTCCGTGGAGTGTGAATCCATTTAATAGTCGTACTGTAAACAGACACCCGAATAGTCAATTAGTTATTGCCTTTCAAAAAAAAAATGTTAATTAGTTATCCCTTCGGCACGTAGTTGAAGGATCTGACCTTTAGTGCGAAATTCAGAATTCGAGAGTTACATGGGATATCTTGCAAATTCACGTAAAGCATTATGGGTCCGTATGTAGTAGGCACGTTAGGTAAGTACAATGACTGAGTATTTAATGGCTGTGCGACACATGTTCCAATGCTATTACTCATTATTTTATTATTTTTGTTAAAATAATTAAAAATAAAAATAATGAAAAAGGAAAATGTAAACATGTTGGGAATCGATAAGGCTGTTCACAGGTCAGGTTGGGTCGGTTTATTTAGGTTTTTCCAACTGACTCGACCTGGTCAGGTTATTTGAGATAGAAACCGAAACCAATCCAGTGTTAAGCAAAACCGACCTGATCAGTTTGAGTCGGGTTGGGTCGGTTTGGGTCAGTTTCAGCTAAGGGGGCGGACCAAGTTAGAATTAGAATAGAAGACAGAAGTTATCAAGAAAATAGAAAGTCAAAATGTATTAGAGAAAGAATACTGAAATTTGTATATTTCAAGAAACTTTCTAAGTTCTAATTTAAGTAAAAAATGACACCTAATTCTAATTTTAATTACCTAATTGGTTGCCTATTTGGTGTAAAAGACTATAGAAAATAGGATCCTTTGATTCTTTTCTTTAAACTTTTCCAAAAAAATTCCTTGTCTAGTTGTCTTACAATACTTGCCATTAATGTTATTCCTAACTAGAAGACTAGGTTAGGTTGTAATTAGGAATTAGGGTAGAGACAAATTAGTTAAGTAGGAATTAAGTCGGTTCGGGTCGGGTCGGATTCGGTTTTCACAGAAGAAAACCGAAACTGACCCAAACCATCGGTTTATGATTTTGTACAACCCGAAACCGACCGGTGCTGATGAAAACCTGGCCGACTCAGGTTGGGTCGGTCCAGATTGGTCGGTTTGGTCGGGTTGGACCTTCTTATGAACAGCCCTAAGAATTGGGACTCATTTATATTTTCTTTTTTCATTATTTTTTATGTTTAATTATTTTGACAAAAATAATAAAATAATGAATAATTTTTGTTTAAGGGAATAAAAACATTTGAATAAAAGGCACATTATGCACGAATCTGGTAACACCTCGTAATAGCATGAGGCTACATCCCAACTTCCCAAGGATCTTCTAATTATTATTATGCATCTACAATTCCTAACTTGTAATTGAAGATTATTTAAGATACCAAACCAAACTGGTTAGTGCTGGTTTCTTTTCAACCGGACCCTGCTTTTGAGCTTGAAATGTAAATGAAACTCGATCCTACCAAGTTTTTATTGTTTCGTTCACTTTCTTTGGGTACTCATAATGTTTGTTGTTGCATGAAGAACTTTCATTATTGCAATAAAGACGAGTTTGGTTGGTTGGTTGTTCTGAATTAAATTGGACAAATGTATTTCGATTGATGAATAAATCTGCATTATTGGGCGACAGCCCCACATGCACTTCCCAATGTGGTGCAAAGTGTTTTGGTTGGACATGGACAAGGGGGTAATGCTTGTTAGTCTATTAAAGTGGCTATCAATTTAGCTCAACTCAACTGTGAGTGTTCTAGCTGGGCCTTGTGCCATGGATTGGCTTTGTTAAACAAAATTCAAGTTGAAGAACCCTTATGACATTTTCAATTGGGAAAATTTAATTAAATTGGTTCCAATCCAAGCATTACTTTTGAGTTATGTATTGTTAGATAAATTTGTAATGATTTTTATTAATTTATCTATTAATGTTCATTAATTGTTATTATAGTTGGATAAATTTTGTTAGTTTTTATTATTCTAAGTTGAATTTAAAAAAATATTTTTTTATTAATTGTTTAGATAAATTTGTTCTGATCTTTACTAATTTTATTAGATTTTTTACATTTTTATTTATTTTAAATGGAATTTAAATATAGATGCCCTATACAAATAATAAGTTCAAATTTTAATATCCATGTTGCCATTTAATAGTTATCATAGTTATTGTGTTAGGCTTCTTAGAAATAAATGTCCTATTGTTCTAATCTTCTAGATTCCTGGTATTTGTAAGAGATCACATTGGCACCCCACAAGTGTCTCACATGCACATCTCAGCATGCATTAAGAACATTTCCTGTACTCATCATGGGGAGATGTTTCTAATATACGGGTGGGAGGTGTTGTAGGGCGCTCGTGGGGTAAAATATGGCACCAAGAATATGATCTCTTTTGTAAAACATGGCACCAATAATCAAAGTATTGAAACACCCAATTTGCTTGTTCGTCCATATTGGGTGTATTTTTTCTTAGATTTTTTCAAATTTGCTTAAGGTGTTAGTTTTAGGCAAGCATACATCATAAACGTGCTCAAAATCTGAAACACACCTTATTTGGGATATCAAAGAGTGCCAAAGACGATACAATTGTATCAAAATTTTGAACCTTTAATTGTGAGTTTTGTAAGTTTAAATGACCATATCCACATTTGGTCTGTAGGATAGATGAATCTAAAACATGATTTTGGGCCTATCTAATATATTAAAGGAAGGCTTTCAGGCTATAGCCCCCACCATTCACACACATGGCATTTTTTGAGAAGTTGTTGTTAAAAACCACAGCCCACTACCACCATTAAGACAAGTGGCCTTATTATTTTCTAGAAAGCTAAACATGTGGCAATTTCTGAGAAATTCTTGCTAAAGCCCACAACCCACTACCAAGCTATAGTTCCCCGCCATTCACACATAGCCTTCTCATTTTTTTAGAAAGTTAGACACGTGGCATTTTCTAAGAAGTTGTTGCTAAAGCCCACAATCCATTACCACAATTTTCAATCTATTCCTAAAAAAAATGCTGAAAATGCAAAAGTGGTTATCCACAATCACTTATGCCTACATTCTATCAATCTTAATAAATCATTAACCATCTACTTATCATAACAAAAGAAAACTATTCATATTCTAATAATTATTGAAAAGTTATTTTTTGAAATAAATATTTCTTGAAATTTTAATAATTATTTAAAATATTAATAAATACAAATTTAACAATATTGATTCCATAATATAAATTTAACTTACTGATTCCCCGTACTTAATACGAGGTCATTCACTAGTATATATATTAAAGGAATGCTTTCAGGCTACAGTCCCCTACCATTCAAACACGTGGCTTTTTCAAATTTAGACACATGGCATTTTCTGAGTAGTTTCTTTAAAGCCCACAGCCCACTACCACCATTTAGATAAATGGCCTTCTCATTTTATAGAAACTAGACACATGGCAATTTCTGAGAAATTCCTGTTTAAGCCCACAACCCACTACCACCATTTTCAATCAATTCATCAAAAAAAAATGCAAAAGTGGTTATCGACAACCACTTCTGTTTACATTTTATCAATCTCAATTAATCATTAACCCTCTATATACCATAACAAAAAAAAATATATCTATATTCTAATAATTATTGAAAAATATTTTTAAAAATTTTAATAATTATTTAAAATATTAATAAGTATAAATTTAACAGTATTGATTCCCCGATATAAATTTAATTTTGCTAATTCCTCGTACTTAGTACGGGTCATTCACTAGTTCTACCATTAAAGTGTGCCATAATACATTGGGTCGAATTGCAATTTGGAATGGTTGCATGGATCCAAATTATGGACTGTCTTGTTCTTATAAATACAGTTGATAATAATTAATAAATGCAAAAGAGCATTGATGATTTGCAAATTATAGATATACCGGCAATTTGGACTGTCTTGTTCTATTAGCGATTAAACCAATTTAGCTTGGGTCATGCTTGAATCTCAGAATTGATGATTTGCAAATTATAGATATATCGGCAATTCTCTATTGTTGGTGGCAGCGAGATTGTCAACTCAATTCCATGATGGATGACTATTTCTTTCGAGGTGGAATTATTATGAAACAAATCTGGTATGCCCGAAATGCTCATTTATTTGTTGGTGTTCAATTCGATCCTATGCTGAAATTGATTGGTGCTTAAGTCTTTTGGATCCCATGCCTTCTGCAACTTTGACAATCATGGCCCATGGATTGGTGGAAGTGTGGTCAAAACCTGCTGCAAATTCTTTAAAAGTGAACGTTGATGCTGCTTTTAAACATCGTGTGGGTTCTGTTGGACTAGTCATTCGGGATCATAATGGTAACTTTCTTCTTGCAAGAGCTTTGCCTATTATATTAACTGTAACAGTTCTATTATGGCTGAAGCTTTGGCTCTTCATCATGGTCTACTTTTAGTCCAAGAGCTTCATTTATCCTCTGTTATTATTGAAGGTGATGCTTTTAGTATTTTCAAACTCATGTTGGTGGATGATCTCCACCCGCCGTGGCAGTTGATCCACATCATTACTGCCTGCAAGAGCATCGTTCTTGCTTGATGAATTATGTGCGACGGACGGCAAATGGTGCTGCTCATGTAATTGCCAGACGAGGATTATCTTTGTCTCGACCTTTTACGTGGTCTACTATTCCAGATATTTCTGTTGAAAGGGACTCTTCATCGAGGCTTCTTTCAAAAAAAAAAAAAGAGCATTCACTCGATAACCGCTAAAACCAAACTGAACTGAAAATCCTAACCCTACCATTACGAAAGCGTTACAAAAAATGGTACTATGCTTTTACATTTTCATTTCTTTTGCATGGTTGTATTTGGATAGTAATATTTTTGACATACCAGATATGTAATTAATGGGAATAAGTTAAGAAATGAAAAATTAGAATATATGACTAATATATTACATAATGTACACCGGGCTTTGAGCTTTATATTAGGGTTCAACTAAGATCTATACATTTTCTATTAATAAGTGGTAAAGTATATGGCCCATGAAT